TTTTCCTTTATCAGAAGCCATAATATTCATCTTTCTATATCTCTGAAAAAAATCTAAGATTTAACTACTTACAAAATGCTAGACTTATCAATAAATGAGATAGTTAATGGTTGTAATTTTACCAACATTTATGCTCTACTCTTTTACCAAAAAAAATGGTGTCCATATTTCACACTCAAAAAATAGAAAAATGGTTCAACATTTAATTTTCTTAATAAAGTCATATTGCATAGATCCAATTATTACATTGGTGCTTTTCCCTTCCTATCAAAAGAACTTCATGAAGACACCTCATCAATTTTCAAAGCTTACTATACTGTATCTAAAGTGACCGTTTTAGCGTTGCGTACCAATGGGAGATAACAGATAAATACAAAAACATAATAATATGTTATATGATAAGGCAATCATCACAAAATAATGTTGGGAAAAATGTCTAAGGGAGATTATGTTATTATACACCCAATATATTTAGAAAGATTACTGATTTAAAATACTTTAAACAACTATCCTAAAAAAATAAATTTACCCATATTTAACGTATGTTCGTGAGAAGTATGAATTTCAACAGCAAAATCAATGGAGAAATCACTACACAAATATTTGAAGCAGTAAATCAGCAGCAGCAACAAAAATCCCCAATGGAAAGGACATATTAGATCAGATTTTCAAAAATAATACAAACTTTAATATCCTGAAGACCTAGAAGAATGTTCCTTATGAATAGCAGCATTATTAATCCAATGGAAAGTAACACAAGCATGACAAATTATTTACTCTCACAAGCAAAGGAAGAAAACCAAAGCAAAAATGTGGAAGGTTTTCCCACCATATTGCAATTTTTTACTGTGTTTTTAATATTTTTTTCATGCTAACAAAGACATGTAAAACAGCGACTCACATATGCATCACATATAATGATATAAATTGGTTCATCTTTGCTAGAGAGCTATCTGGAAATATTTACTAAAAGGCATAAAACTAATAGATATCTAGGAGCCAAACTAAGAAAATAATAAAAGCTTCATTTAACATTCAGGCATAGGCATGAGGATTATTGGGAAAAAAGTGACAAAATAGCAATAATATAAAAATTTGAATATAGAGCAATGTTACAGTCCTGCATGTACATATTTAGAGATGGTATTTATTATCTTTTATATATAATCTCTCTTTTATATTTATCTTATTATATGTCTTTATGTTTTTTAAAATATTTAAATGGCATGGAAAATGTCACAGTATACTTTTAAGTAGAAAGAAGTAGAGGACAAAACTATATGACTGTTGGTCAAACACATACACCCATGCACACACATACACTTGCACACACACTCACACCTGCATGCACACACACACACATACTCACATACCCTAGAAGTGAGATTAGAAAAAGCACCAGCTATTGCCTAGAAGTACTAAGTCTATATTCCAAATTTTCATGTTTTACAAACATATCTTGTTCTTAATCACAAATAATGTGTTAACATTTTATGACTACTGTAAAGTATAATGCCTCTTTTTCAGCAGGGAATACTCTTGAAGCAATAGGTATAGGCAAGGACTTCCTCAATAGAACTCAAGTGACCCAGCAACTAAGAAAAAGGATGAACAAATGGGACTACATTAAAAAGCTTCTGCACAACAAAAGAAATGGTCTCTAAATTGAAGAGACCACCCACAGAGTGGGAGACAATCTTTGCTAGCTCCACAAAGACTGATAACCAGAATAAATGGGGAGCTCAAAAAACTAAACTCCCACAAAATGAATGAACCAATAGAGAAATGGGCAACTGAAGTAAACAGAAGTTTTTCAAAGGAAGAAGTCCAAATGGCCAAAAAACACATGAAAAAATGCTCCCCATCCCTGGACATAAAAGAAATGCAAATAAAAACTACACTAAGATTCCACTTCATTCATGTTAGAATAGCTATCATCAAGAATACCACCAAATGCACATATGAATAATAAAACAATAAAAATTAAAAAAAAAAAGGAACCCTCATACACTGCTGGTGGGAATGTAAGCTAGTACAACCACTTTGGAAAACAATAGGGAGGCTTCTTAAAAAACTACACATAAATCTGCCATGTAATTCAGCAATACCACTCTTAGGGATATGAAGAAATGTGACTCAGGTTCTTACAAAGGCACCTGTACACTCATGTTTATTGCAGCACTATTCACAATAGGCAAGGCTATGAAAACAGCCAAGATGCCCCACTACCAATGAATGGATTAAGAAAATGTGGTATTTATACACAATGGAATTTTATTCAGCCACAAAAAAGAATGAAATTTTGTCATTTGCAAGTAAATGGATGGAACTGGAGAACATCCTCCCTCTTGGGCTTCATGCATCATCAATTCTGGTCTTGTTCACAGTCATGCACTCTGGTGCAGGGCTTTTATACCCTATGCTGGGTCACAGCAAATTCCTCTTCATTGTAACCTTTTGTGCTCTATTCTCCAGCTCGTTTTACTTTCTACTCTCAGGTAAATCATCCTGAAATTCCAATTTCATGATGCCATTTGTCTACTGGAAAACCTCCACTAACACTCTACTTCCTATAATTTAATCTTCAGTTCTTCAGAAGCCTTCCTAGTCAGATCACTCCAGTGTCTCAGATGTGCTCATTGCCATTTCTGTACTGTTTTTATCCTATTTCACTTATTTCCCTGTTCATTGACTCTAGGAAGCACCAATTTGTCTATAAACTGATCTTCTGTAATACACATAATTCATCAATAAGATCTTAACTTACCAAAATTTGTTTCCTTATCTGAATATTACTAACAGCCTCAATAAAGATCAAATATGAATGCAATCTGAAAATGTGAACCTTTATGTATATTTAAGGGTATTATAGCAGAGAGAGGAGGATCACAGTTCGAGGCAGAGATAGGAAGATGATCACAGTAAGAGGCCAGTCTGGCAAAAATTAGCAAGACCCTATCTCAAGGAACAAGCTAGGTGGGGTGGCACACTTCTGAAATCCCAGCTACACAGGAGGTGTACGTAGGAGGCTCATGGTCTGAGACTGGTCCCAGGTTAAAAGTGTGAAACCCTATCTAAAAAAATAACTAAAGCAAAAAGAGCTGGGGTATGATTCAACTGGTAGAGTACTTGCTTGGCAAGAGCTAGGACTTGAGTTCAACCCCAGTACCACAAAAAAAAAAAAAAAGAGTTACTATTAGAACCAGTGTTAGTCCTGAGAGCAGACTGTTCATCACTGGATGGAAAGGAAACCAGACATGCTGTCAGAAAACCTGTGTTATCACTGACTCTTCCTCACTGGGAGATCATGAACTGTTTTACTTGAGCTTTAAGAGTTTCTGCTCATTAATCTATGGAATTAAGATAAGAACTACATTCCTTTCACAGAATTTCAGTCATTCACCTTTTAAAAATATCCTACATCCAATGTGGTTGGTACAGGAACTTAAAAAAAGAGAATGTCCTATATAATGACATTTTGACCCACACTTACAAAGCAATTATGACCAAATTATTAAACTAAAACTCATGCACTAGTATTGCAGTCCCCAAGAAATTCACAGACAGTGGAAATTCACAGACAGTGTAAAGTAAGAAACAAATACATAGAATACACTACACCAAGCACTGTGTTCAAAGAACTTGCAAAGTCCTGTGAACTTTAACTACATGTGTGGAAGTCAAGAGAGATCATTTTTTTGGTGCTAGAGATTGAACCCAGGGCCTTGTGCATGCTAAGTAAAATTTATACCATGAAAATACATGTCTGGCCCCAAGAAAGATAACATTTGAGATGAGTCTGAAGGACAGCTGGGGTTTTCCAGGCAGTGAGAACCAATAGCATCACAGTCTTGCTTGGGTGAAGCAAAATGCTGCCAAGCAATCTTTCCAGATTGTTCTGTTCAGAATTTTTCTCTCTTCTTCAGAGGCAGACTAATTCTGCCTCCACACTTACATTCTGACTCCACTACTTCCATTTTCTCCTTCTCAAAAAATGAGCTTGGCTCCTAATTCCTATAAAAGGTAGAAGTCATCCAGTGATTGCTTTACTTCCCTTCTCTGTGCCTAACAGTGACTCTCCACCCATAGCCATTGTTTCTTGCTTGTCTCTTACCCTAAATCTAGATACTTCTCTACTACTTCCCATCCGTATCCTCTCCCTCTCCCCACCCTTTATCCTTGCCACAAGTGTGATTCTACCATGTCTTGTCTCTGCATCTTCTTCATTAATGACTCCTAGTCAACAACATGGAAATATGTTAAGTTCCTTCTATCATGAGACAGATTTCCTCTTCCCAACATCTCCACAGGCAGACTATCTTCTTTGTGCCTGGATAGTCTATAGAATCATCTCCATTTTTTTTTAACTGTCACTCATCTCTCAAACTCCTCAAGTCTGATTTCTGCCCTCACATCCCCAGTGAAAATGTTCTGTCCAAGACTTCCTTGTTCCATATCTTTGACTGGTTTTAATAATTCTACACATTTCCTTTATTTTCTTCCTTTCCTTTTTATATTACTCTCCTTCAAAGTTCTAAGCTATGTTCACTTCTCTTCCTGGGGTTTACCCTCTTCCTGTAAGGTTTTAATTAGCTTTTCCCCCTAGTTCTCAAATATCAGCCTAGTTTTCCTCTAAAACTCAGATCCATTCTGTCATTCTTGTCCTGTTACAGACTCTGAACTTAACTGAGCTCATTGTATTCATTTTAACATTTCTTTATGTAGGGAGTTGATTGAACATATCTGCATCACAAAAAAACACTCATAAAATGTGGAACTATCCAGGCATGGTGGCACACACCTGTAGTCCCAGCACTTGGTAAGCTGAGATAGGAGATTTGAGAGTTCAAGGACAGCCTGGACTACACAGTGAGACCCTATCTCTAAAAATACATAAAATAGTTTAAAGGGATAAGAAAGTGGGATCAAGAGAAATGATAGATCTGTAGGACATGTAAGAGAATATGGCAGAAAGTAAATGCTACATAAAATCTTCTTACCTTGAATGGAGGACTGGTGTCACTTGGCCTTGCAGAAAAGTCAAAAGAGATGATGAGATCAACCCCCCTCTGGGGTCTCAGGATCAAGGGATATGGCAAGTTAAATGTAAGCCCACTGTCCACTACATGAATCTTTTTGCTTTTGACATCCAGTGGCTCATATATTTGCTCAAATTCATCGGGATCTTAAGAAAAAAAAGGCAGAACAGGAATGAATTAAATAATTATTTGACATTATTTAAGATATGAAAATCTTTATTGTAAATTTGAGACCAAATTTCATTGATGAGATCTTCCAGCTCTGGTGACAAATAGAACTAGGTATAAGTCTGACTTCAACAATCATAAGTTAATCATTACCTTTTAGTCTTAGTTGCTTCATCTGCAATATCAGGACTAAAGCAATTATCAAGTAATGTTACTGCGAGGATTAAATGGGACAATACATGGGAAGAACATAGCTTAGGTCCCGGTACTGATCTAAGCTGGATCTCTTTAATTGTATTATCTTCCAAACATAAGCCTTTTCTGGCTTAAAAAATTTTCTCAGTCATTATCTTGTTTAATTCTTATAACAGACAGGAAAGAAGTATGAACAAAACAAATTAAAAGACCTCTCTAAGGTGACATTACTAAGGAGTGGCAGAGTCCAAACAGACCCCATGCTGCCTCTAAGTTAATTGCTCATTCCACCATAAGGTGAAAGCCCAAGAAAGTAGTCCAGTCAACATACTTCGCAAAGCTCCACTGTTACTCTGTAACAATTGTTGGCATGAACAATTCAGATACAACTCTACTCTGATAGAGCTTACATTCTGAATACACTGCCAATAAGTCAGTATGCAAATATATTGACAAGACAGTTCAGACAGTGAAAAATCGCAGTGAAGAAAATAACAGAAGGCAATTACTAAGGAGTGACTATGGTTGGATGCCCAGGAGCAAACTCTCTGGGAGGGAAATCTTGAGCTGAAATAAGAAAAATAATATAGAACTGGCCCACTAAAATTTTGGGGGGCAGGGTGAGGAAGGAGAGTTCTAGGAAGAGGGAAATCCTAGGACAAAGACTTAAGACAGACTAAGGCAGAGAATGTCTGAGGCCCAGCAAGGAACCAACGAGGGAGACAAGATAGGGAGAAAATAGTATGAAATAACACAGGGTCTGAAAAATGGTAGACCCTACAGATGGTTAATAATTAGCAAAAAAGTAATATTGATAGCATGCTACCAGTCACATTCACGTGTGTGCTCCTGACTCACATACTGGGGGCAGGGGGGAATATAGCCAGAGTTGAGTTGGTTTGAATTGGATTGCATGAAATACCAGGCATCTTTTACTGTCTCCTCATCCCACCTCTCTGTTTAGGAGATGTGAAAAAAGCTGGCCAAGCTCAAAAGAGAGTCTGTTACTGTAGAACAGAGTGAAGAGTTTACATCAGGCACATGACATGATCTCTACTTCCATTTGGGAAGCATTTCACACGGGATACAGTAAAAAAATTAAAATAAAAAAAGATATTAGAGAGACTCGAGTTTATAGAATCACCTAGACCTGCAGTTAATATCTATCTCACAGAATTGTGAGATTATATTTAAAAAAATAATAAAAGTATCTAAGAAAATGGTGGACGTATAATAGGAACCCAGTGTTAATATCCTCGATATATATCCTAAGTAAAAATGACTAATTGTCTCACAGACAATTTTACTTATTATATTTTAGGAGTAAGAAATTAAAATAGTGCTTATCTTTAAATTGGTACTATCCAGTTAAATACATAATCTTTTAAAAACACCAATAAAACAAATTGACATGTTGTTTAGATTAGACATTGGTATAGTTACTTTAAAAAGCATAAATATCTAAGTTTCTAAAGTTTGGATTCATGTATTTTTTCATTAAAATGTCTCACCTCTACAATACTGAATAACAAATGAATGTTTCAAACATTCCCCTAATGATGTTTATGAGTAAAAAGGAAAAGATTTTATATCTGAGGCAAACATAATGTTAAGAATAATTGAAGGAAAGAGGGAAGGCATAAACACAGGAGGCAGGAGGGGGGACATGGAAGTGTGACACTATTTGAAGTACTTCATGTGCATGTTTCAAAATACAATAATGAAACCTGTTAAAATTTTTTTAAAGGAGGGGGAATAGGAATGAGTAATGGGTAAATTTGATCTAAGTACATTATATGCATGTATGGAAATATCACAATGAACCTCATTTGTACAATTAATACACTCTAATAAAACAGAAAAAGTCTTACATGAAAAATGCTGAAAAATAATTTTTTGGAAAACAATGTCACATGCCTGAATAATAAAGTCAGACTGAGTAAAAGCCAAAAAAAAAGAAAGACTTGATATTTCTGATTCAAACACCTAGGCCAATAAGGAGAGGAAAGAGAAATCATTCTTTAAATAATTATCTCAGGTTCTCTAATAGAAAGTGTCTCACTTGCATGGCACTGCACTTTGCCACTGCCAAGATACTAAATTTCTCTCCTAGAACTTGGAATCAAAAGATTGTAAAATTGAAATATATAAATATTCTCAAACTCAATTTTCTCTTTTTTGCTTTATTTATCAAACACAATTTTAGCACTCATTCTTCTATTTTTAGTCTCATAACTACATATTTTGAAGGTGAAAAATTGTAATCTTTGGGTTGTAGTAGCTTTTAAATATTTTGCTAAGAAGCTAGACATCATTATTCAGATATTCTCATTTCCAAAAAAAAAAAGCTTCATTTGTACTGACTATCTGTTATGTCTTAGAAATCTTGTAAAGGGAGCTGAGGTCCAAAGAGACAAGATGAATTACACAAAACTGTAGAGTTTTACATAGACAGAATGAGAGTCAAAGTTCTAAGCCATGCCCATGGAGTCAAGCACTGTGCAAAATGTCACACTATTGCATCAGTGCCCCGATTCAAAGAATAAGTTTTCAGACACCCCCAGTCTGACACTGTGGACAGTACCCGGCCCTTATATATTTCTTCCCTATATACCCATACCAATGACTAAACTTAATTTGTAAATTAAACACTGTAAGATATAACAATAGCTAATAATAAAAATAGAGCAATCATAGCAGTGTATCATAACAAAAGCTATTTAAAACTTATGAATCATTTATTTCTGGAGTTTTCCATTTAATATTTTCAGACAACTGTTGACCTAAAGTATCCGTCGCCACAGAAAGCAAGACTGAAGAAGGAACTATTGTACTTTAGAACATAGCATGCCCCAAGGAAATGAAAGAATTTAAAAATTTGAAACAGATAACTTTTTTTTTAAAAGTCCAAACTGGGCATGGTGGTGCACACCTTTAATTCCAGCTACTCAGGAGGTGGAAGGAGTAGGGCTTCAGTCCAGGGCCAGCCTGGGAAAACTTAATGTTGAGACCCTTTCTAAAAAGCAAAAGTACTGGAGGCAAGTCTCGAGTGGTAGAGCACTTAGCACAAGCCCTGAGTTCAATCCCTAGTACTGGGGGACCAAAGAGAGAGAGAGGGGCAATTCAAGAAGGCTATCTACAAACCACATTTATAACATTTTATCACAATTAAACATAGCACATTTAAAACCACATTAATGAGAGTGTTTTTAAGTGCAGCAATTTTCCTTAATATGATAAAAACATAATAATTCATAAATATTTTTCTTTGGCTTCACAAACTCAATTTAAAGAAAAAATTAACTAAAAGATTACCCAAAGCAGGTTATTCTCTCACACTCTGTGAGTTGACCTTTCTTATCAGGAAATTAGCAGTCTCCTTTTTTTCCTTTCTTAAGTCTAAGATTTCCCAACTCTGGCATAAGGCTTGACACCATTGTTCCAGTCTTCCAGGTAAATGGACATTAAGTTTCTGTTTGCTTGGTTTGGGGGTTTTTTGAATCAAGATGGGGCTGTGTAGCCCAGGCTGGCCTGGAACTCATGATCCTCCTGCTTCAGCCTCCTGAGTGCTGAAATTATATGTTTGCATCACTATGCCTGGTACTAAGTAAGTAGTGTTTCTTAATTGTGTTGCAAACAGCATAGCTTTGCAAAAACATTAACAGATGTTCCATACACAATATACGTGTTCCATGATCAAGTAGATTTAAGAAAGACAAAATGGAACAGATTAAACTAGTAGCAAATTACAGTGTATATTCCCTAACACACTTGCTATGCAATTGGTGTGAAGGTACCACTTAATCCTCGCTGTAATTCCGTAGGCTGGGATATGACTATCATTCTTACTCTGTAAGAAACTGAGGCTTATGCAAAGTCTCTGCTCAAGATTATCCAGCTCATAAAAAACTTCACTGAAATTCAAATACAAGCCAGTCTGAAAGTACTGTATCTGAGGTACTTCTAAGTAGCATTAAAACTCAGTAGGATGTCCTATTGCTTTATGAAGGGAAGACAGAGCTGTCAGTCTTTCTAAATTTATTCAAACTTGGGAGGATAAAAAAATGATGGAGGGGGTGAATTCAGCTACGGTATTGGTAAATTCAGCATTGGTAAATGTCACAATGCACCCCCAGTACAAAAATAAAAAAGATAATAAAAATAAATTTATTTTGAACTTGAAGTCAATTTATTATGACACCTACCACAATGACATAGAAAGTTGGATAAATGTCACTATAGAAAAATAGTCTTCCATAATTTAAAGCATAAAAAATTCCCAAACCTGTAAAGGAGTTCATTGGGTTTTCTGATAGGTATGAACACATAGCCTATGTCTTAAAATCATATAACATTTTCTTAAAGCAGTTCAGCCATGGATATTTGCAATGGTCAATTTGCAAATACATCACACAACTTCAGTTTACCATGTACAAATATTTGGATGTCTGCATGCTGAACGCTAGTCTGTATTAACCGTGTCTTCATTTCTCACTCCAGATACTGTTTGTCACAGTAAATGATATAAACACAAAAGTAAACAGGAAAGAAGTCATGTAAGTGATGAAGAGCTTTTCCAAAATTAGTTTCTCGGGCATTAAACTATTTTGCAGTAAACTAATGAGGGGAATTTTTATCATCCTACAATTTATCTTGTTTTCAAAAGATAGTTTGCAAGATGAAGTAATAGGTACAAAGCAGCGCATTTTCTCATTTTAGATTGAGGGGTTGTTTCAAAATACTCTGATTTTAGTTTGTATAAACAGAATTGCCAGAGTGAACTAAATTTTAAGATTTTTTCCAATGTAATATCTAGATTAAGTAAAAATTTATACCTTTTTTCATGAAAGATGTGTAAAATGAAAACAGAAATAGACTTATTGCTTTAATTATGGCATTTTAGTTGTATAATAAGTAGGAATTTTAATGAAGACTTTTTGAACCTAAATGGTCATAGTTTGTGGCAAACTCTACCACTTTCATTTCAAAATTATTATTATTTTAAAACTTTAAAACAACTAGAGAAAGATAAACAGGCCCTATCTTAGTAAGGGTCATGTCTGCAAAAACACTAATAAACTCAGTCTAAAATGAAATTTTTAGGAATATTTTTACATGAATAATAAAGTCAAATAAATTTGTCCCTGATCTGACTGAATTTTTTAGTGAAATTAGTGCTCACATATTTTTTAAATGAATAAGCATGGAAATAAGCAAAGTATAATTTAAATAAGATATACACAGAAGTAAAAATAAATGTTTTTCCAAAAACCATTAATTTAAAATAATTATAGTCTACATTTCAAAATATCTCAAAAACTTATACCAAAGTTCTACTGTATATTTGGGGATGACAGACAATATTTCATATTATTTTATAAAAATTCCTCATAACTGTTCTTTCAAGAAAGAAATTGGATAAGGTGATGCACAACAAATGTTCTCCAAACCATACTGAGAAGGAAAACACCTATATTCAACCCATATTTTTCGTTTACAGCTGTATCCTCAATTAAGGTTGCTGTGTCCGCACTGATGTAACAGTTCCATCAAGATCGGGGTGCTGGTTTTTAGTTCTAGTTACTTTTCTATTATTATTAACCAACGTATATAAATCCTTCCATGAATCAAATCTTCAAAGAAGGGTCATCAAATGATTTCATCTGTATACAGGCAACGATCACATCTGTCTTGTTGATGAGTGAATTCCAAGCACAGAGCACATTATAAGTGCTTGTAAATACTGTGCTAACGCAAGAACGAGTGAAAGAAAGATGAAAATGCAGAACACTTTGAAAGAAAGTGAGGAAGGTAAAGAGGCATGCTTCCTAAGATTACCAAATTTGGCTAATGAAAATACAAGATGCCCAGTTTAACTTGCATTTCAAATAAACAACAAATAATAGCTTAGTCTAAGCATGGCCCAAGCATTGAAAGGATTATATATTCATTATTTATGTACATATTATTTAAAATTAAATCTTAACTGGGAATTCTGTATTTTGTCTGGCAATCCTAATACCACCAAATCCACATAATATATTGCAAAACTGCCAGGAAGTTAAAATATGGAGTGTTGGCCACATGCATTGCAGACCACAGAGGAGTTCTATTGGCAAAGCAATGACATAAAATAAATGTAATAAAGTTTACACTGAAAAAACTTCCATTCTTACATCAGCAAGACAATGACTAACAGATGGTTTGTGGAAGACGGGAAGGGGAAAGGTTTAGGAGCAAGGCCAAGAGACCTGTGTCCCAAACCCAAATCTGCTGAGCAATTTTGGATGAAGATGATAGAATTATTTTCTTTGATTTTCCTTTTGTATAGAGTGTAATAACTGATGATTTCTTGATAGATATAAATGTCCTGTGATATAAATTGTTTCTTAAGCCCATCAACATTCTTTATGAAGAACTAGTTTGGAGGAAACACATTTAATTGATACTGCTATCAGTCAGCACACCCATGTGCCACAAAACAAGAAACGTAGTATCACTGATCATAGGGCTAAGAGTATTTTTAGTTTGGATGAATTTAAAAATACACATTCACTTTTCTCCCAATTAGACTTTTATTATAGTTAATATGAAAGGGCTTAGATCACAGATATATAATTGGACACACATCATATACATTAGTCACCAAAACAAATGTAATTTTCAATCTATAACACATGTGCAAGCAAAGAATAAAAGGAATTATTCTTTGGGATTTGGCTAAGTGATAAACATGAGAGTAAGGAGGTTCTTACCAGGCAAACTTAAGAAAATTTCCTCATCTTTCTGAGAACTGCAGAGACAGATTCCCTATCCAGATGGCATAGACTGGCTGACTCAACTTCATTCCACCCACCATGGGTGGGTGCCTCTGCGCCACTGGAGGGTGCCAGATAAACCAAAATGCACCAGATTCTCTCAAGCTGCAGTTCATGGAGCCCTGGCCTCTGCCAAGGAGGAAAGACCTCCACATGCTAGAAGGAGGAAATGAGACTGTGCTTTCCGTCCAAGCACAGTTCTGGAAGCGTTAAGTGCAGACAGCTCTCAAGTGTTTTGGGAGGCATTCCTGGAAGGTCATCCTGGAGTTTGCTCCTTTAATTCTTGGAACATTTTTTCAAGCAACTAATTCTCCACTCAAAACTATTATTAAGGCAAAGGGTCCCCTATTTTCTACAAGTGAACACTGACCCCCCCCCAAAAAAAAGGACCACTGCTTCTCTTAGTGTTTCAATGAACTTTTTCTGCACTGATATGACGAGGCCATTTCCTGTCCAGTGAAATTTTCTCTTCAGGGAAAAAAAAAAAAGAAACATATACACAGTAATTAAGCGTCTCTCACAAATTAAATGCAGATTCATGCAGTTGGGTATAAATAAATAAACACGAACAGAACAAAGCCATCCTGAATGAGCTCATGCTGCTTACGTTTTGGGTACCTACCTGCCACAGCTGCATCCAGTTCATCGTCATCCTCGAAGGACTCCTGTGTGGTGAAGTCTCTCAGAGGAGACAGTGGGTAGGATGTGTTGAGATTCAAGCCCAGCATGAAGTTGTGCACCTTTCCAGCACGTCCTTCTCTGGTGTTGAATAAAGCCGAATCACTCACCAAGGCCATCAACATACGCTGGACCCAACCTGCTTGAGTATCATTCTGATACTCCCTTTGCGCATCTTCGTTTTCAGTGCCTGAGGAGAAGGCGAAGGTCACTAGACACACTCCAAAATGCGTTTTTTAAGAAGAGGTCTGATTTGGTCAATCAAAAGTTAAGATTAACGATGACACTCTTGATTTAACATATGCTTATTTGTATAAATTAATGTAGTGAATAAGCACTTTTGTTCTTAAAATATTCTAGTTATCTTTTAGCTCAGTCAGTGTAAAAGCTATGTTCTTGAGAGTGCCTCTTGCTCAATTCTTAGATTTCCAGGTAAACTTCCATGTTCCCCTTTTCCTCCTCCCTCATTCTTTTTTCCCTTTCCCTGTCTTGAGGCAAACACAGATGTATACAAACACACAACCACAGAAAATCCGTAGTAGCTGGTCCTAGCCTCAGTGTTTCCAAAATTTTTTAAGAGTCCTTATCCTGTTTAATAAACATTAAGGATTATGCAAATCAAGTCCATGCAGCCAATGCATCCAGCACACAATCACTGCTCAGTAAACACCCTCGTGAGTCAGTCACATGACCTGTCATTTCATCCTTCATTATAAAGTTTGTGGATTTAAAACCCTCTAATTTAAACAAATGCTATAAAATGTCTTAAAACTCAACAACGGTCCAAATGAAGTAATTTCAAATGACTTTTTCCTGAAAACCTATGCACGCATTCCTACTCCTGGGAAGCTATCCTGTGTAGCCAGTTAGAACGGGAGTTCCAGGATCAAACTGCCTGGGCTCCAATCCTCTCTCCACTGTTTCTAATTGGTTACCAAGCCCCTCCTCCTCTTTCATTTCCTCATCAGTACATTTCATAGGGTCACTGTCAGGATTAACTGAGTTGGACATCCATGTAATGTTCGTGGAAAAGTACCTGGCCCATACTGAGTTGCAAATAAACACCAGCTAGTAGCAGAAACTGTTGCGGCAACTACTCCAGCTTCGCACCATCAAAATTGTTGGTTCTTAATCAGAGTCAAAGAACACTTGATGGTAGAGTATAACTTCACCTGCCTAAGTCCCTTCTGTTCTGATTTCGAGTAACTCTGTACAAACAGACGTGCTCATAAAAAAAAAAAAAACTGTGTGCATGTGTGTGTGTGTGTGTGTGTGTGTGTGTGTTTTGAGAGAAAAGGTAATCTACACTAAAATTTTATACTTTCCAATATATGTATCCTAAACAAATAAAGTCATAGCAAATATTACCTTCTATCTTCAAAAAGATTACCTTAGCTGAGTAAATGCAGGAAACTTTCTTTGGATATCTAATCCTGATGACAACATAGTCACTAAAAACAATTATGCTGTTTTCTACTCCCAGACTGTTCTCATGCCAAATATGACAAAGAAAATAGTTCACTAGAACAAATCAGACTTTGAAATGAGTGAAATCTCTCCACTTGTACAGGATATGAATAAGATGTTCAATTATTTTCAAAGATTTGGGGCTTCTTATTCTTGTTATTTTTTCATTAACAAATCCCAACTTCTGGTCAATGGAGGATCTTCTTTTTTTTTTTTGGTGGTTTTAGGGTTTGAACTCAGAGCCTCATGCTTACTCATCAGATGCATTACCACTTAAGCCAGCCTCAGCACTTTTTGCTTTAGTTATTTTTTTGGAAAGGGCCTTAGTTTTTTTTTGCACTGGAAAATCCTTCTACTTTATACCTCTACCCAGCTGGCATGAAAGCCATGCTCCACCATGCTCAGCTTGTTAGTTCAGGATGGGGTCTTGCTAACTTTTTGCCTGAGCTGGCCTCCTAAATAGCTGGAATTACAGTCTTGCATCTCCATACTTGGCCAGGATCTAGCTTCTTGATGATACATTTAAAAATGGCATCACTTGTGAGACAAACCAAGCAGTCAATAGATAAACAGTATTTTATTACTTATTAGCTACAAAAGCCCCTCTGTACATATCTGTTACTTTGATGATTGCTACAGTTCTTTAAAAGCCAGTAGAGCTTAAGTTGGAAATGTCTAAAGACTTTGCTCAAAATCATATGACTAAAAACGCAGTACCCCCAAAGAATAAAAATACGATCCAAAGACTAAGAGAACCACTTTCCAAAAGGCATATCAGTAAGGTACTATCATCCCAAATGTACAAATAACTATCAAAAACCAACAGGAAGGCCAGGCGCCAGTGGCTTAGTTGTAATCCTAGCTACTCAGGACGCAGAGATCAGGAGGATCACCAGTCACGGCAAATAATTCTGTGAGACCCTACCTCAAAAAACTCTTCACAAAAAAAGGGCTGGTGGAGTGGCTCAAGATGAAGGCCTGAGTTCAAGCCCCAGTACCACAAAAAAAAAAAAAAGTCAACAATAAGAAAACAACCTGATTTTAAAAATCAGTCAATGACCTGAACAGCTCAAAGAAGATACACAGATGACAGCACATATTTTAAAGACATTCCACATGCGATGGGAGAAATACAAATTAATACAATGAGAAGTTACCACTCACACATTAGAATGACCAAAATCCAAAACATTAGCAACACAGAACCACAAAAACTGTCACTGATTGATGGTGAAAACACAAAATGGTGCAGCCACATTAGGTTTTTCTTACAAAAGTAAACACATGCTAGTCCTATGATCCAGCATCGTGCTCCTTGGTATTTACCCAAGTGAATTAAATTAAAAGTAATGTCCAAATAAAAACTTGAACATAAATGTATACATTGATTTTTCAAAACCTGGAAGCAGCCCAGATATCCTTCAGTAGGTGAATGGATGTAGTATAGCCAGACAATGTAATATTATTTAATACTAAAAATAAATGAGTTATCAAGTCATGAGAAGACAGGGGAAACTTAAATGAATAATGCAAAGTGAAAAACCAACATGAAAAAATTATTTTCTGTATAATTTCAACTACCTGGAAAAAGCAAGACTACGAAGACAGAGCTCACCAGTAGTTCAAGGAGAGGGACAGACAAATGGGCAGAGGACAGATGACTAGAGCAGTGAAACTATTCTAAGGTGATTGTATCATGGTAAATACATCTCATTACACATTCATCAAGACCCACAGAAGGTACAACACCAAATGTGAACCCTAATGTAAACTGTGGATTTCAGGTAATAATGATGTTTTAATAGGGGTTCATCAAGTGTAACAAATGTACCATTCTGGTGGAAAGTGGGAATCATTTATAGTGGAGAAGGTTGTGTGATGGAGAAAGGGGTGACACACAGAGAAATTCTGTGCTTTTCTGTTCAATTTTGTTTTGAACCTAAAATTGCCCTCACATTCTCTACTTAAAAGGAATAGTGAGAGCCAATTTGAATTTTAAAAAACTAAAAAAAAAATCCTAAATAATTATCCTCTTATCTAGGCTAGTACTAAACCCAAACCGCCATATCCACTTCTGAAACTGCAGCAGTGACCAAGTACATGAATCACCTGCAATAATTTACTTACTAGTTAACAAACCATCATTCTGTCCACTTAGTAGTCCTACAGGCAATGTAGAATTAATTCTCAAAATGGTAAGAATGGGATGTCTATGCCTTTGCACCAGCTCGCTTCTTTCATTAAAGGAAATTCAGAGTGAATGCCATGAACAACCAAAAAATGTAGAATTAACAACTATTAAAATGAAGGAGCTAGACTTAACACTAGTTCCTTCCAGGACAAGGTTCTTTCAGGGGTGGAGCCTCACTCAACTCCAGGGCTGCTGTATTTGATTAGGCAAATCACTGGTTGCATAAAGTAACAAAACAGTAAGCAAATCAGGACTGACACAGAGCTGTGCTCCACTAGCCATGCCTTCTTCCTGGTGGAAACTTTGTCTGCCCAAGGAAGGAATTCTCTGTGTTCACAAACCACTGCACACCAGCCTCACCATGGCTCGGTGCATCTGCATTCTCTGGACAAGGTGCTTTTTGTCTACCTTACACAACTCACGAGGAAGCAATAGCTCAGCTGTGAAAAGAGAATTTCAATGTTAGTGAAAGATAAAGATAATGTAGGTTACTCTGCTATTCCTAACGTGCCTGGGAAAATTCGTGACATTTTGGACAAGAAAGCATATTTAATATCTACTGAGATCTAGGTGGTTGCACTCAAACAATAATAGGAAACGTTCATCAAGCTATTATAAAATCTTTTTTGTTGTTGTTTTTGTTGCTGTTTTTCATTGATTAGTTTTCCTTATTTGTTCATTTTACTATTGGAAATATTTTTATAAATGGCTGTGTAGAAAATTGTATCAAAATGTAAAAAATCTTACCATTTTACCACATAACAACAAAATACTATAGTGTGACAAATACCTCTGATCCTCACCTTCTCCCAGCTCCAAACATCACTAACTATCATAATCCACACCAAACTGGCAACGGCCTTATCAAAATGGAAGAGGACTCACACCAAGACATACACGCAACGAGTGCTTGATAATTTCCCCCTAAGTCATCACTGGGTCCTTTATACAGGTAGGTCATGGCATACTTAGGCATGGAGTGAGAATATAATTTCACATGATTTAAGAAAATTTTAAAAGAAAAAATTTTCATTTTTAAAGTCATCTAAAAATATTTCCAATCACAATAACCATGCTGAGCACAGATCCCTAACCAAACTTAAAATAGAATTCACTATTTCAGCCTTCTCAGATTTGTCCATTTGTTCAACTGAAAATATTTTTGAGTGATTTAGGAAAAAAAAAAAAGAGAAGAGTTGTACATCTGCTGTTTGTTTTGTGAGGGATGCAAAATTAAGTCCTCTGAAGAAAAAGATATAATCTTGTCACTTCAGTTCTCAGACCACCATCAGCACCTTTTTTTTGGGGGGGTAGTATTTTAATTTTAATTTTTTTCTTTTTTTATTACCACATTATTGTTGTACTGGGAATACATTGTGACATTACAAGAGTTCTTATATCATTGTTGAAATCATCCCCTCCATCATTCTTGATCTTCCCTCCCTCCATTCCTAGAACACAGGTCCCATTTCTCCATTGTCATACATGAATACATAGTATTTCTACCATACTCACCCTCCTACACCCTTTCCTTATATCCCCCCACACTGGTACCAATGCCACCCCAGACAGGACCTGTTTTACCTTTCTGTTGAAAACTAAGACATTTCACTGTGACATTTTCATGTATATATGCATTATAATCTGAATTGGTTCATCATCTGAAATGAGAAAAACCAAATAAAGGACTCCTATGCTGTCCTCATGAGTCCCTGCAGGGGACCGCCTGGCTCTCTTACCTTTAGGGTCTTGTGAGTCATCATCACTGTCCGAGCTATCATTACTCACAATATGCTTTGCTGTAATATTTTCTGTGGGAAGAAAATAAAACAAGTGAAGATAAATTACAATAAAATTTACTATAAAGACATAATCCAAGCGAAACCATAGAAGCAAATCTCCTATACCTACATGACAACCTAGATTTACCACTGTTTGCAAGTTTTTCACTGGCAAACAAAACCTCCCAGGACATGATAATTAAATTAGTTTAAATTTATGCATTTCTAATTTTAAGAAGGAAATTCTTGTTTGTTCATCTTATTTCTGATAAGAATAACTATTTGATTATATCTTTAAGAGGTGTTTATGAAGATCTATAAAGGATAAAACCAAAATCTACAGGAGGCTACAGAAGATTCTCCAGAAAATGAATAAAAGACACTAGTATGAATTCTCTCCTGATTTTTAACTATAATAAAAATTACCTGTTGAAATGAAATGTACCTTTTGGTCTCAACAATTCATACTTCCTTCAAAATAACTGAGACCAGTTATGAAAACTAAAACAATAACCATAAACCCTTAATACAAAGATAGCAGTAAAATCTACTAAATAACTAGTTGCTTTTTTTTAGGTAAAATATACCTAAATTATGAAGTCTGCAGATGGTTCTCATAATCACCATTTGTAGAAATAGACTTTATTTTTATTTTAAGACAGATCCATTTTGAAGGGTTTACATTTAGGGAAATTAACAGTTGAGTCTTGAAAAAAGATCAAAGAAATAGAGGTACGACATTTGGCTCCATGTACTACTCTGTGTATGTTTGTTATATTAACATACATGGGACATGCATGAGTGATTGTGTAATGGAAAGATTAAAAAATTTTGAGGCAGTGGATTTTATTTTTACTGGCATGATTTGTAAATTTAAAAGTTCAATAAAATAAAATGCTCACAAGATGATATCATTATTCATTTCACTTTACGACCATGACAGACAGTACTGTTGTAGAAAGTAATTTTGTTGAAATGATCCTCTCCAGATGTCATATATACTGGATGTGTTTCTGGTGCTGCATGTATTTTCTTTTCTTTCTGCAAGCACTTTCTGTTGTTGTTGTTTTGTTGTCTTTTGTTTATTTATTTGGGCCACATTTGATACTCTGGTTCAAGGAGATGGGTCACCAAAATATTGTCTTTATAAGAAAGTTCTCATGGCATGAATTGTTAATATTCTGAACTATGTTTACAGCATAATGTATGTTCTGTCTTTACAATAGCGTGAGTCACTCACATGCAAAACTCTTTAAGGAAGTAAATAATTTCATTTTAAAGTTACTTGATTATGGTCCAATTTACTTTAAAGTCTTTCATCAGAAAGGAGAAAACAAGCAGGCAAGCAAAACCACTCTGAACACCCTTGAAGAGGTAGACCTTGGTCAGCCAAAGGCAGAACCAGTCACCAGGAGTCCTCAAGTCCCCTCTTTCACCTCTTTGGTTTCATTTCTGGAAACCCTTACATAACCTGAAGTAACGGGCATCCTGCTGACTATGGGTCCCAAGTACACAGTGTCTCCCTCAGTCTGACACACAGGACAAGTCTGCTGCCAGACCGCTGGCCTCAAAGGGGACTTCTCAACAAAGAGTCTTCTCAAACCTACTGAGTATAAACGTCTTCCTTTTCTTTGGCTTTTAGCCACTGTCTCGCCCACCTTCGAGTGTGTTATTTCAGTCCTATTCTCTTCCTGACTTAGGAGAAAAAAATAATAAACCCTAGTTATCTGGATTATTCAACAGAGAAAGAGTGCAGGAAGCAGATCTCCTAATGTGATCCCTAGTCCTTTTTCATTTTTTCTGAAATCTTCTTATAATTTACAGAGGACTGAGTGGCTTCTACCAAATTAGAGTTGAAAACAGGGCATTCATCTGGGATATAAAGTTTAATAAACTCGATCAGGAAGATCACATTATCCTTACACACTTTGCCTTGTAGTTTTACAGTTAAGAAAATGTGGTCCACATTCAGGGTAATAGCAGGCTTGGGAGGGTCACTTACCTGAGTGATAGTCAGAGGACACTTACAGGCTCTAAGTGTCTGTGTGTTGTTTGCTTTTGTATTGAAAACATTTGGGGGCTGTGGATAGAGCGCCTGCCTCACTTGTACAAGGCACTAGGTTAGATCCAGCACCACAAGAAAACAAAAACATAACAGACAGAAAAATTTGTCCCTAGTGCAATAATAAAATCACTTTTTCATTACTTACCAAGAACTATTCAAAAGTAAAAATGATTCTCCTAAAGAAAATATTAATATGGAAGTTTACCTATGAATAAATATCAACAACTAAAATCAATTCTTCCAGGAGGAGTGAAAATACTATTTATAAATCACACTTATAGTGTTCTAATTTATTTTAAAATAAATTATTTTTGCTTCTGCTCTAAAGCTTATTTATATCGACTTCCATTGCCTGGTGATAACCAAATGTAGCATGTTAAAAAAAAAAATCCTACAGTAAGCTTTTTACATGAATTGATCATTGAAAAATTCATTACTGTTGTTCTATCAACTTCTCTGTTTTCAAATAACCCTGATATTCATAGACAGAGAAGAAATAGTAGGCAGTTGTCTGATGGCCCATGGGCTTGTTCTAGATCCCTGCTGGTATGGCCTCAAATTCAGATTTAGCTTTCTATGGATTCATCCTACTATTGGTCAAAATAACTGTTACAGAAACCACAGATCCAGATTGCAAGTCTTTGAGGAGATAGGAATGCATGTTTTGCTTTATTTTCTTTCAGTCAAACTTGTGCAATCAAAAAAATGTGGTGCTATGTTATTATTCATATAATGAGTGAAAACAACTGGTCCTTGTTTGAGTTTGTCAACTTTTCAGGCTTTGTAAATACTATTTTAATTTATTATGGGATAATCATTCATTTTAGTTGATGAGAGATGATTTAAATTTTTCTTCTTTTCAGTGTGAATTAGCATTACATAAGAGGTTAAAAATTCTAGTGAATTAGCATTTAAGGGAAAGACAAATTGTTACAGCCAGGAATTTCTCTTTAAATGTCACATGGTGTTCAAGTGTTGACGAATCTAATTTTTAAAAAGTGACCTTTAAGTTTTGTTTTTTTTTTTTAAAGAGTATTCTACTAAAAAGAGTATGTTTAGAAGCAGAATGAGGAACATGAACGAAGATTTCTCTTAGGAACCAATGGTTTTTATGAACTCTACAACTTCATCCTCAGGATAGAACTTAAATAACTTGCAAGTAATTTTTAGGAAATTCTTAGGTTGATTCAACCAAATTATTAATAAATTTACAGACCTAATTCTTCCTCCATTGTGGAACCTTTATTTTGTGAACCAGAAACTCCCAAGACTCTGTTGAACAATATAGAAAAGGCACTTCCCCACACACCTAAAATAAAGCAGAAACAGAAATTAAGTTTCAAACCATCAGGTTTCAAAATGCTCAAACTAACTAGTGATAGATTTTGATCACTTACCCATTAAAAAATGCAAGGGGTTTTCTTCATATTTTTTCACAACTGTTCCCATAAAAAATTTGCTTCCAAACAGGTCGGGAGCCATGAAAGTGCCATATTTCGCCATGCCTATCTCGTACGGGCTAAACTCAACCCAATCTGAAAGCATGGTAAAAATAATAAGACAGTTTATTGATAGGGAGTTGCAACAGAGAAGTATACAGCTCATAATCATCTCAACCATGCTATGCCCAATCTCATTCATTAACAAAATGTTTATTATGTATATGTCACCGTGTGGTAGGGAAGAAAATGTACAGAAGAACAAGATGGGAGAACACAAAAAGATCCCTTCTAAGCCTGGCATGGTGGTGCTCACCTGTTATCCCAGCTATGCAGGAGGAGTGGGTAGGAGGATTGCAGTCTGAGGCCAACCAGGTCAAAAAACACGAGACCCTATCTGAAAAACAACTAATACAAAGAAGGCTGGAAGAGTGGTTCAAGTGGTAGTGTACCTTTCTAGTAAGTATGAGGCCCTGAGTTCAAATCCCAGTACTTCCAAAAAAAAAATCCGTTCTAATTGGCACAGGATCAATATCCTTTCCCATTTAAAAATTCAGATATCTTTTATGAAGTCCATCTTAATTTTGAAGAATGTAAAACTGAAAACTTTTAACTCAAATATAAAGTCCAGGAAAGAAACAGAAGAAATCAAATTCTTTATGACAATGGAAAAGTCTATGAAAATGGAAACAAATATTTTCTAACATTTCCCTTTGCTTTGTCTTCACTTAATTTTGCCTATTAACCATTCATTCTAACTGGTAAAATGAAAGGTTCTTATGCTGATGTCTTAGAAATAAATGGTGAGAGGGACAATAAGGTATTATATTAGCCAAGAGCAGAGGCTCTGGAGCCAGTCTGGGCTCAAACCCCAACCTCCTGCTCACTAACTGGATATATTACTCACTCCACCTATACATCTTAGTTCCCTAATCTGCACAATGTGAACAAAACAAGCAGGTGGCTATTAGAATTGTCTTGAGAATAGAATGAGTTAAGGAATGTAAGGAGCAGGTCATGCATGGTGGCTCACATCTGTAATCCAAGCTATTTGGGAGGCAGAGATAGGAGGATAGTGGCTTGAGGCCAGCCCAGGTAAAAAGTTAGCAAGACCCCATCTCAATTAATAAGCCAGGCATAGTGGTACACACCTTTCAGCCCAGCTACATGGGAGGTATAGGTAGGAGGATTGTAGTCAGAAGTCATTCCCAGGCAAAAACATGAGAGCCTACCTGAAAAAAAAAATAACTAAAGAAAATAGGGTAGGGGACATGGCTCAAGTGGAAGAGTTCTTGCCTAGTGAAAGCAAGGCCCTGAGTTCAAACCCCAGTACAGAATGAAAGAAAGAAAAGAAAAAAGGAAGAAAGGGAAGGAGGGAGGGGAGACAGAGAGAGAGAGAGAGAGGAAAGAAAGAAAAAGAAAAAGGACAGGGAGGCAGGGAGGGAAGGAGGGTAGAAGGAAGGAAGGAAGGAAGGAAGGAAGGAAGGAAGGAAGGAAGGAAGGAAGGAAGGGTAATGTAAGGAAAAACACAGAAGACATGACACACTTTAATACCCCAGTCTATAGGAGGCGTTATATCTCACCACCTCCCATGATATAACCATGTCTAATAACTATCTGAATCTTAACATGTCCAAAAAGATCTCCTGGTTTCTGACTCCCATTCTGAAACCTGTGTGAGTCTTCCACATCTGGTGCCACTGCTCAAGCTACCTTTCATACCCTTAGTAATTCTGTCCCTTGGTACTGCACACAAAACTCAAGTACCGTATGTTCTCTTACCAGATATGTTTAGAGTCTGTCCCTTACCCATTTGGCCATGGTGACCATACTAGCACAGACTGCCACGCTCCCTCCCTGAATTTCCACAGTAGCTTCCTAAAATGTCTCTACTCCTTTCCCTCGCCCTCTTCCCCCATCTCGTTCTCCTTTTTTTTTTTTTCGTTTTGATAATCTGTAAGCAGAATGAACTTTTATAACAGCGATCACAGCACATCAATGTCAGTTTAAAGCCTTCCAGTGGCTTCTCATTATACTGAGAATAAAAACACAAGGCACAGCAATGTCTTAGACGTTATCCCCCATCTGCCCATTTCTCCTAACCAATCTCCTGCCAGATTTTTTCTTATGTGTTCCATTTCAGGCACATGGACCTTCTTGCTATTCATCAAAGAAGTCAGGTCATTTCCACATCAGTGTCTTATACTTGCTATTTCCCTCTGCAATTGCATGGCTTGCTCTTAATCTTTAGTTCAAGGTCTTTGCTGAGGATTCTCTTACTAAGTCCCACCATCATGCACACCCTGCACCAATACCAAATCCTCTGCCTCCTCTACTTTTTTAAGTTTTCTTTTTTTTTTTAAATTATAATATGTCCCAAACCTCTTATCTAACAATCCAAAATCCAAACACTTCCAAAGCCCACAAGTTTTCTTGTCATTCATTTGGTGGTAAAACCTCACCAGAACTCATTTAGAGAAAAATCAACTTTGAAACGATGGGGAGGGAGACTTCTCATAGTCTATTTATCCCAGTCAAGGAGAATACTGACATATTGTACTGGAGAAATATCTCTCTGTGTATTACAGGACCCCGCTGGGCTCTTGTAATCCCAGTACCCCACAATTTTTAAATGAATACCTTTTTAAAATTTAAAATCTAAAATATTCTGAATTCCAAAATGCCTGTATTCAAAGCTTCAGCAAAGGAATGTGCATCTATATTTACTTCTTTACGCATTGGTGGAGAACGTTCTAATTTCACGGAGGAAGTTATGTAATCACAATTGTGATAAGATAGCATTGTAGTTCATTTCAAACCCAAGCTAAATGGCACACATCCCTGCATCTGAAAGTGGTATGCCTTATACTGATTTATAGGGAGTTAGTGAGACATGACTAGCAATGAATCAGACTGTTAGGAAAATTCCTGTATCAGTACACATAATTTCCGATCCCTAAATATTACAGCCCTATTTTGGGAACTAAAAAAGATACAGCCTCATCTCTCCTACTTTTCTCTCTCAATTCCTTGTTTACAGTGTTGTGACCTGTACACAGAAAAATTACAGACATTTTCAAGAGCTAAGAGTTGCCCTCTACTGAAGAGCTCATCATGTTATTTAACTATTAGTCTTCTGCTGTTGACTTGTACATTTCAATGTCAGCATCTCTCCTGCATCTGCTAACTTCCAACTTCCTGTTGAGCATTTATACTGAGATGTTCTGTCATCACCACCTACTCTCCTCTGGATAAAAACTTCTTACCTTTGCTCCAAACAAGTTTAACTATTTTGGTAAACTACACTATCATAGCTCAGAAAAATTGCTCATTTTCACCAAAACTCTTCTTCTACTTCATGAAATCCATTATCACCCCCCACACACTGACCTTCACATCCATCTTCTCATTTCCTTCCTTATCAGTATCTCCCTAGCCTCAGACTGGGTCACAAAAACAATTTCCAGTTTCTTTCTTCCACTTTCTTTCTTTCCCAGTCTACCTACATCAGTCACCAAAGTACTTTTTCAAAAATACTGTCAAATAGTTTAATTGTTCAGCCTCAAAGAATTGAATATTTCCTTCTGTGTGGAAATCAAATCTTTTTATAACTTAGAAGTAAACTTTTCCACAAATGTACACCTATTCTTCACCAGTATGTACACAAGTCTCAAGCTAGTTTCTTTAAGGTGATCCTTAAAACAAATCTTTGACTGTCTTCTGAGCACATTCTCACACTTTTCCATACAAAGCTGACTTTTCATCTCTTCTTCACTCTTCCAAGTTCAATTTGAAACCAAGTTCAGTCACCCTTCTAAAGTCATTCTTATTTACTTAGGATACTAAAGCTCTACCTTTATATCCGCTCCACACAACTTAGCAGATAATATTCTAAGTGTACAGTATTAATTTTTCTATGGCTTATTTTTGTCCCTTTAAGTGGTATTATAATTTTCTTGCGGGAAGTACTATATTTTTACCACTACAGTTTCTGCCAGAGATTTTAACATAGTTGTACATGCCTACAATTCCTTCATTCAGGAGGCAGAGGCAAAAGGATAGAGAATTCAAGGCCAGTCTGGGAGACATAGCTCAAGGCTGATCTAGGTTACACAGTAAGACCCTGTTCCTCTCCCACTCCCAAAAATAGCGTGACGCCAAGTTCATGACTGTAAGTGCTGAGTAAAGACAACTTATTCACCAAAAGAAAAAATTTAGTGATATTTTCAATCCTCTCATCAATGTAGTGGAGTGGAGGAGTCAAAAATACTTAAGGGTTTAAATGCTAATGCTCATTTGTGGAAAATCTTCCAAAGGAAAAGCGTTTAAAATTATTCCAAGGGGGGAAGAAAAACATTCTCTGGCATTTATGAATAAAATTGTTGATAAGACTTCTGTAAACGAAGCTGGTTCTCTGACTTTTTAAAGCACAATTCAGAGATTATTTCAATTTTTTTCCCTAAATGCCACTCTCAAGCAATGAAGTATAGACATTTCCATTCTTTCTCTCTTTCTCTCTCTCTCTCTCTCTCAATAACACCTGTAAAGCTACTTGAATTCCCGTGACATCCCCTTAGAATGGCTTATCTGGGGATAAGATGCACCTAACTAGGAAGACAAAACTGAACCTCCTCATCCAGGAAGCTCAACAATGAAGGCTAATGGTGCATCCACCATCTCAGTATCTCAGGTTGGCAGAGCTCATATCAGACACATTCAGGTCCAAAGACAAGTGAAAACAAAGCAGCCTTTCTTACTCTAGAAGAATCCAGGCCATTAACTTTCTGAAACATTTTTCTTTATTTTAGTCAAGTTTTTCCTTGACAATGGTTACTGACTATAAGTTCAGAATTAATGTAGCCACTGTGAAAATGCAAAAGCAATTATAACAATAATAATAATAAACTATTATATTTTATGTCTTTTATAATTTTCAGTCTTATGCATATCTCAGTGATTGTCTATATAGTTCCATAAAATAAATAACACAGTTAGTATTTTTTTAAATAATAAGGAAAATGAGAATCAGACAGATTGGATGATCTGCCTGAGATAGTTCAGTTTAGAAGACATGACTTCCAAATCAGAATCCAGTGCTGTTTTGAGCATATCATACTGCTTCCTGGGTGAAAGATGACTTATTTGTCCATGCTCAGATCTGACTAGCCTATTAGTGCTATCTATCAGCCAATTCCAAAGCTTTCATGATTCCACAAGAGAATAGCTTGTGGAATGGCACTTAATATTATTGAAGAAAAAACTCTCAAGTCTCCACTATGAACCCCACTACAGTCAAGGGGGTGGTCCTGGTTTTATCTGAGCATGCTGTGTCTATCTTGGACTCCTGCTGAATGCTTCCCTCCACATTCTACAACCAGATAATTAAATTTACCTTTCATACACAAAATCTTATCTGTCTTTAAGATTTTGACCACTGAGTTTTACAGAAGACTCTACAGCTTACCAGTGTTTAAAGTATTGTGCATGTTTTATCACATTTATTTATCAAAATAGTATGAGAGTCTTATACTACTTACCTTTAAAAGATAAGGTAACTAAGGCTACAGAGGTTATATAACATGACCAAGGTGACAGCATACACTAACAGTTCTGTACTCTCTTGTGCCTTAATTTATTTCATATTTATTATAAATTTCCTGAACAAGTAATAAGGTCTTACTGACAAGAACAATATATTGTAGCAGGGGGAGAGAGGTTAGAGCTCTCCCCCTAGAGCCTTGCATTTGACATTCTAGGTGGCCAGTTGTCAGCAAAATCAATGTAGTGCTATAAAAATACCAAAAGATTCTCAAGGTCACTGAAACTAATGTGGCACTATAAAAACACCAAAAGATTTTTGAGGTCAGTTCTCAGCTCTGTTACTTACTATCTAGGTAGTAATGTGCAAATCAATTCATATTTCTGAAGTTTTGTTTTTTCTTCTGTGAAACAGCTAAAAAATTACTTCCTGTATTATACTAAAATGTGGAATAAAGTAATAAAAATGAAAAGTGCTTTCTGAACCATAAGCATGATAAAAGTTTCAATTATTATCATTAATAAATACTTATTAATCAGTGAATGAATCTTAGGTGTATTGCTTTTATAAACTATTCAAAATTCTTGTCTAAGAGCAGGCAGTCAAGGGAAAAATGAGAGTAAAATAACAAAAGGATTCTGGATTAAATCTGCTAATACATGCCATTTGTGATGAGTTTTTAAGCTCATTATGTGAATGAAGTCACTAAGATACTTTTCCTAAAAATAGAATGACACCCCCCCCACCGCCACCAGCCATCATCAGAAATTCAAGGGCTCTGCAGCTTTACACTGGCAGAAGGAGGAACACAGTACCCAAAAAGTGAAGCTACAGAAGAAACAAGTGCTTTCCCAAACCTCAAGATTTAACAAAAATGAGGCTTCTTGTCCACCAGTCACAAGTATAGGTCAGTACTTTTACGGGTTAAATTATGAAAATCAGGATAGTGCTTTGAATGACAGATGTACATCGTGTTGCACAATTAATGAAAACATAACCAGCAAGTAAACTAATATTCATTGCCTAAAAGCACTAGACATACTATTTTATCAATAACCACTGAGAAATGGTAACTCACTTGAGTTACTGACTATATTCATGATTTATTTTTCTTTCACTAAGTTAAATAGAGAGACATTAGTTACCAGTTTCATGGAACATTCTTTCTATGACCAGAAAATCATCTACTTTAATATTTCTTTCTATTTTCAAATTTTCTTATGTTTTATAAAATGTATTAACATAATCAATTTTAATTACTTGTAACCTTCCTTTAAAGAAAACCATTGGAAACCATATGCTCCAGAAAATGCTCTGAGAAAGGAACTGATATACCTGCAAACATCAGCTCTGACACATCAGGTTTGACATGCAAACAAGTGAAAAGAGGTAAAGGACATCGGGCAGCAGTGACCTTTTCCTTCAAACTACTCAAGGTAGTGTTCATTCTCTGTCCACAAAAGAAAGAATGAAATGGCTTTAAATGTATAAACAGACACAGATAAAAGCTTATTTAAAATAGTATTTCCAATCAAAATGCTTAAAACTTTTATAATAAAAATAAATCTTACTACCTCTAGATATTTCTGGGTCCTGAATAAACAAGAAAAAAGAAAACTCTATGAAAATAGTTATCTGCTTTCTAAAACAATCATAACTCTAGGAACTATGTCTACCTTTGAACTGGAGAATGATTTGGCAACTATGGGGTGTGGAAAATATTTATCCCCTGGAGTCCCTGGCACCGGCTTTTCTCTATTGCTCCTGTTTTATCTTCAGATGAAATGTCACCTTGTGGTTATGTGTCAAGTGCCTTTGTTTCCTGTGGTACACTTCCTTTTCTGACTCTTTCCAGGCAACCTTCCTTCTCCTACCTTCAAAATATTAGTTGTTAGGGCTGGCGGAGTGACTTAATTGGTAGAGTACCTGCCTAGTAAGTGCAAGGCCCTGAATTCAAACCCTAGTACCACACATAATAACTAAATAAAATAAATATTACTGTGTTCACCTAAACGAAAAATGTTGAAGAGTTATATCTGCTAGAGAGAATGTGCTCAATGCACATTGTTGAAATAATAAGTTGAGCTGAGTAACTTTTACAAAATATAGCATATTTCCTTTGACTTAAAACAATCTGGAATACATTGTCTACCTGTATTAAAAGGATTATAGATTGGACCACGGCTTACATTGTGGATTAGTGTTTCTCCTATTAACATGCCAAAGATATCAGTAAAGGTGACAGGTTGGCCGGAGCTTTTCTTCTTCCACAATGACTCAACATATCGTTTAATCTTTTGTGGTGTGAGAAGTAAAAGGGGGTTGTAGCTAACATTTTTCATTAGTTCTTCATTAATCTCTTCTGGCCCCTTCTCAGGAAAATCAGGGTGAGAGTACAAGGTTGACATATACCTATAAAGAAATTAAAACACAATCAAGAAATTCAGTAAAGGCATTGCACAGTGTCTCCAAAGAAAGAAGGCACTCTCTGTCATCAGAAAAAGAATGATGGATATATTTGATTAATTTAACCAATTAAAGATATTATCCTACTAAGACTACATTGATCAAAGATGGGCTGGTCTACAATGGAAGCAAAACAGAGACAAACAAAGGAGAGAGAGGTCGCACAGTCAAGAGAAAAGAATGCAGTACCAGACCTACTATCCACTGTCTAGTCTGCTAGGAATGAACCATCCTTATCAGGCTGCTAGAGACTAGTGACACAACACATTTGAGTCACATAAGTAGAATGACTTATCTGGCTCCAATAGTGGTCAAGCAATCTGATAGTCTAACTTTCTATGATGGCTACCTACATGGAGAAAATGTACTGTCCCAACTATTGTGACTAGCTAATTCTCCTGACAAGTATTTTTTAAAAAAACTTATTCACTGACCAACTAAACAAAATCACATGCCTTGTCAAAGGTAAGTCTTCTGAACATATGAATCTGAAGGCAAAATCCTAGAGAAGAAAAGGTCATTATGGTAAATGATTTATGAAGCCTCTGGGACACAAGAAATTTCTATACCTCTGTAGATAACTGGAAATCACCATGAATTTGATTTCTTTGCAGTTATTGGCCGACCTCTTGTAAGCCAAAATCTCTAGTGTATTACATCTCATCATGAGTATTATTTCCCCATCAGTAAATAGTGACCTCCTTTAGGAAAAGAATTTTTCTTATTCATTTTTGTTAGTCTCAGCAACTAGCTACTGCCTGATATAGAAAACACAGCTTATTGAACTGATAGGGAAAAAAATACAATGAAAGATACACTTTACCATTCCATTCAACCAAAGGTAAAACAGCACATGTTTTAATCACCTGTTTTCATGGGATTCAAATCAAAATGTTTACCATAATGGCTTATATTCTCTTCGGGAAAGGGAGAAAAACTAATTCTTACTGAGCCTCTGCTATGTTCTCAGCACTGTGCTGGTTAATTGTTCCTAAGAAATTGTCTTGAAGACTACAATGGCTTTCAAATCTTCCATTTTAAAGATAAGGAAAGAAAGTTTTGGTAAGTTTAAACAATAGGCTCATATTCCCTAATTAATAGCAGAGGAACTAGAATTTAAAATTTATCCTATCCTCTGAAAGGCTTTATTTTATTTTTTTGTTTTGCTTTTTTTATTTGTTTGTTTCTCTATGTATTCCATATTTGCCTTGAACTCTCAATCCTCTTACTTTGGCCTACCAAGTAGGTGTTATTTTATAATTTATTATACAAGATTTCAGATTAGAGATGAAATTATTTCTATTTAGAATTTCTTGTTGGATTTAAAGTTTCTTATAAACAAATTGAGAGAATATTGATGGGTTAAAAAAATGGAGTGACACACCAAAAATAGAACACATACTTAAAACTAACAAACTTCTTAAAAGACCTGAACACAAACCAAATTCATAACTAAACTTAACACATGTGTAATAAAAATCAAATATCTATTAAAGTACAACTTAGAGTACTTGAAAGATACAATGTACATCCATTCATATAGTTCTTCCAAAGTCTACAATGTGATTTACCAATATCAATAAAGATTTTCAAAACCTCATCATAATTTTTAATAAATGCACACATGACTATAATTATGTTGGTTTATATTTAAGGACATTATAAACAGGAAAGTAAGACATCCATTTGAGTTTCTAAGGTGGTCAACTTGAAAAATATTCAGGATATGGTTTATTCTTTATGAGAACACTACAAAGAAATTATTCACTAGTTTTACTATCAAGAATAATTCTACTTCCATGGAATTGCTTTTAAAATACTTAAAATGTGTGTTATTTTAATTTAAACTATGTGCACCTGGTTAGAATTTTTCTTGGATTCCAGAAAGCTTTAATCTAAACCTGTGTCACATGGCTACCAATGCAATATTTACAGAATGAATGTTCTTGTTTCAAACTACATTTTCCCTTTCTGTCATTTCTATCTTTAATGCATGCAATCCAGCATTATTTTGTAATAAGATACATTAAAGCTTTTTCATAATGAGACAGGATAAATGTGAGCAAAATACAAAGATGTAATGTCAGTAAAAAAATCACTGCAGTGGTGGAATGATCTTTTAAAGCCATGTGAAAAGGATTTGACATGATCACTCTGCTATTGAAGTTATTCCTTACTGCTCTCATAATTATATGGTTATTCAAATATTATTTAAGTTATTTTAAGACTTCTCCATTTATATGTAGCTGATCTTTGATTGAACCAACTTACAACTGTAAAAAGTACATCTGCCCAATGAATTGCTGCTAGCAAGATCATCTCTCTTCTTTTTTTCCATTTTGCCCACCATTAATCACTAGATGCAAATTAGGATAATCCTTCCTTATTGATGAGGAGTTGTCTAAAATGTTGGACTGTGTATCACAGTTTCAGTCATAGACCTTTTCAAGGGGGCAAAATGTATACAGATATCAAACCAATTCTTTCTTTGTATTCTATGTAGAATAGCTACCACCCATTCTACTCTCTGAAAGGTGAAGTAAACTCATTCAATTGTAGTCTAGCTCCACCTTTTTTTCCCTTTCTCATAAAACAGTTGGCTTGGGAATATGGGCCCTAGTGAGAAACAGAAAAACTTAGAATACCTCAACCATTGGCATTGAGTTAGTGATCTTTGTTGTTCAACATTTATGAACATATTCCTTAGAATCTACAAATTGATTGAATTGGACATCCTTTCCATGATGTCACTGCAGTTACATCCAAGACTTGGGTTTTGGCTTTGGTGATAGCTAAAAATATAGTAACAGACAACTAGTTCTGGGAAGCTGTTTAAGTTTAAAGAGTTTTCTGTTTCTGGCCTGCACCAGGGCAAGAGTCAAATACACATGACTTCTGTGGATATAAAAACCAACTAAACCACATCAGTATCACCCCAATTTCTTTTTCCATGGTTAAGTCTTAATTTTTGTCTCTTTAATAATCATTGTTTCTCACTTCTACCAATTAAGTTTCCAAAAGTATCATAAATGTATCAGAGTCTCTACAAATATATATAATAAATAAGTCTTACATTTATCTATGAATCTGTAATATTTGCCTCTAATTTTCAACATATTTATATCATGGGACACTTCACTTTATCTAAATACATTTAAGTGTGAAATTCTCAAAGTTCAATCATGCCAGTGAAGAAGATATTTTCAATTCAGTCCTTTTCTCCATGTTTCAAAATACCAATGCATAGCCTCTAGGACTTACTGAATCAGAATTTTTAGGGGTATCCATTCGGAATTTTTATACTTTAAAATGTGAGGATGTAATTCTCATACCCAAGCAAGATTTGGAATGACTTGAGAAGACCCTCCACATTGTTGCAGGAACTCTTCATAACACTAGATTGAAAATTCTCATTCTTAAATTCTGTTTAAATTAATTCAGTGGAATGGGCCCTACTCTCTACAGATACAGAGATACTGTCATTTCTCTCTAGATAGTAATACCACACAAACATGGCACTGGCCTCTCACAATGCTACAAGATAACAGCTTTACAAAGGAAGACAGCTGTGCTAAAACTCTAAGTAAGAGAACACAGAATTATCATGATTCTTCTACTTCACTCATGCCAAGTCTCCAAGTTGGCTAATACTTACATTTAATGAATCACAAGTATCATCCAAAAATAATTTCAGAAATAATTACCATAATGTTAGTTATAGTTACAAAGGAAGCTTTGTCCTACCCAAAATTCTATTTTGTGATCACAGATATCATTCTGGGAGGTCCAAGGCTTCTCCAGGTATTTCCGTATTACCTCATTAATGCCAAATAATGGTCATGTATCCGCAGAATATAAAAACTTACACAACATAGAAGTGTAATTTGTTTTTCTAAGTCTTTCCGAATTCCTCCCTTTGAACTTTTTACTTTCTCACCTACTGTTTTCAAGAGAGAATTGTGAATCTGACTCATCCCAAGCACATTTTCTTTTGTCTCAGGAAATGCCTCTGCACAGTTAACACTTCCACCTGTACTCTCTATCTTGTGTCATATTTCTGCCTGAATCCCTTTCTACCTCTGATCCTTTTAGTTCATTATTTTCTGTCTACCCTCTGCACTATTTCTTTCAAACCAGACTTCTACAGAAATACAAAAGTCTATTAAACTCCTAAAATAAAATAAGTAAAAACCCTTCCCTGAGCCCTATATTTGCTTCAAACAGTAATTGCTCATTTCTTCCCTTCCTGACCAAACTTCTTGAAATAATAGGCAGTTCTTACAAGAATCACATTCCCACATTTTGCCCTTTCACCTTCTATTCACTTCTTATTCTTTGCAAATTCATGACCAAAAGTACCTTATTTACTTTATGATTTGTTCCTGATAAAACTACTCAAGCACAGCAAGCCCAGCCCTAGGTGCTTCTCTGAGCACCTCCACCCTAACCCTTTGAGATTCCTTTTCTTCATTTCCCTCTCTCAAAGCCTACACTTTTTTTATTAGGTGAGTTTAAGATAGAAAGTCTCTTGCAGTATACTAGTCAATGACAGACAAAAGGGACCCAAAAAAGTATTGAGAAGAGAGAGAAAAAACCACCCAAAGGGTAATAACAAAATGCTTCAGTAAGAGATGTGATTCAAGGGTCCAAGTTTTTTCATCATGTTACTCATTAAACAGGCAGGTGCCTGCTCTTTCTTCAAGGGAAAGAATAATGATGGGTTACACCCTTCTTTCAGAAGAGATAAATCCTTTTGAGGAAGCATACAAAGAAGGTGGCAACCAAGGCTCTAGGTTATTGGTTTTTAACTACAGAATCTGGCTCAAAATAGTTAAGCAATTATAAATTATTGAACTGTGAAACTCTCTTTTGTAGATATAGCTGTCCATGAGAAGATTGTGGTTTAGTAGAAAGAATGTTAGAATAGGGGTTTAAAAGCTTGATTTATAAATGCCAGCTCTGCTAGTATTCCTGGACAAATTGCATGACTTAGCTGAAAAATGAAGAAACTCACATCCATCTCACAGGATGAAATAACATAGATACTTTAAAATGCTAGACATATAAAATATATTATGAAACCAAATTTGCCATGGCTGAGTGACTAAAAATAGCCTTAGAAGTCAGTCAGACATTTTTTAATAAGGTGATACTATTATTGTAAACATTTGCACAAGAACTTTTATTAGATTTTCAATGGGCCCATGTAAGCTAGGCACACCATGTAGTATCTTTGAACATTGTAAGTATATTCATGAAAAGGCAAATCTACAGGGCACAAAAGCTATACATGTTGATGCTGAGCACTAATTTCATATTTAGTTAGATACATTTCAGTGATGCTCATTGTACCTCTGTTTTCAATGCTGCTTTCTCTCTCCTGCATACTATAGTACCTTGCATTTCATTCTATTTGCCCTAAAGAAGAAAATGAATGAATACCTAGTGAATCACATAGACATGTTTGCTGAAAGACTACCAATCAGCAAATTATAGGAAGATTAAATTAATTATGGGTGGAGTATGTTATTATACTCCTGTGATATTTATCTAGAATTATCTTCAATTGCTATACATTTTTATGTTTTAACTACATTTAAAATTACAAACATGTTTAAAAGTAGTAAATTCATGGCCAAAGTCATTACTAAGCATGGACTTGTCTTAATAAGAAGCATTTTTAAGCCAACTGTGGCATCAAGCAGTAAAATGAAGTCAATGTTCAATTTTCTAAATCCACTTTTCTAATATTTAAATTAGATAAATTCAAACTTTTAGAAAAATAAAACTAAAATTAAAAATGTATACTAACCATGTGGAGCCAGAAAGACCAGCAACGTAGGTAGCACAATCCAAAATTCCTGATTCATATAGCGCCTTCATCACACCAGAAAATCCCACCATGGCTCGGAAACCCCCACCTGAGCCCAATATAGCCACCACAGGCACCTGGAATGAGGCAACACACAGACTGTACACAGAGCAAAAATCATAAAATAGGCTTCCTTTTCACCTCAGTTTTTAGGTTATACATTCTATATCTTGTCATAAAGAAAAAGTAAGTTCCTCGTGCTTTGTTAATATCTAATTTTTACAAAGAAAAAATGTTTCATGTAAGAATATCAAGAATCAGCATCAATTAGAAACCAATAGAATACTAATATTGACAATGTAAACATATATTTCTTCAACTCTGCAGTTTTGAGGTTGCTTTTGGTGTATTGATTTATTTGATTCTCTCCAAAATCCTGTAAGGTGAGCAGAAGAGGAGCATTTGCCTATTTTGTAGGTGAAAGCTCTGAAAGATTGATGTGAGATCTGATATCTGGTAATTCTGCAGTGCCAGTAGGCAACTTGCTTTCAAGATACATTTACAGGAAGAATCCTTAATATTCTGTGACAGATCTGCTAGAGTGACAAAAAGGAAGGAGTGTGGTCAGACTGTTATGGTTCACAGCTTTTCTTGTGAGCAGATAGTTCTGTCACTGCCCAGAACAAGGGGCCCAGGGCACAAAGCCAGACTTAGAGGAAATAGTAGCTCAGTCTTAGCACTGCTGATCATACAATGTGAATGCTTCATGTTTCAAGTACTAACCCCAAAGTGACCCATTTACTAAATGATGCATCCATATATTCATTACTTGAGATTATGTAACTCTTAAATATGGAAAAAATTCTGTAAGAGGTGAGGTTTTTATTAGCATTAGATAGGCCAGTGAATAGTAGGCTATCTAGGATTAAAGTCCTAATCCAGTTCTTTTCTAACACCAAATGATCTCAAGTCAAAACACCAGGCATAAATGTAGGTGCAAACTGGAGTCCTCATAATGAAAACACTCTAGTGCTGAAGTGCAAAGGAATAATTTAAGTGGCTCTAAATTTGTGTATATAGAGGTGAACGCAATGATTTCAAACATCAATTTCAAAACTGTAAATGAACCAAAACTTAAAAGTTCTTTAAGCTCATAGGTGGATAAAGCTTAGTAGGGATAAACCCACAAGGTGGGTCACAAAGTGAGTGAGTGGAATGCAAGCATTATTTGCTACAGTAGGTGCAAGGAAACCAATAAGAAATTGGAACAAAGATTAGGAATTTGACTCACTGAGGCCTTGGAAAAGGGTTACATTTATAGAAAATGTGAAAATAATAACAATAACAGTAACAATATTAATAATGATGATGATGAACAGTTATCATTGCTGTATTCCCAGCACTTGGCCTAAGCTCAGGCTGAACAGAAACAGGACAGGGTATATGATTTAGGGACTAAAAGACCAGTCTTTTTATTGCATCTTTAATAATGAATCCCATAGTTTAATTTTAGTTTATATTAAAACTAATTCAATAATCCTTTTGTATACAAACTAAACTTTTCTATTTGTGAAGTAAGCATCTTTTCTCTGAATAAGTATGCCTTTTGTGACAACAACTGTATCAATGAATATATGAACTTTGGTGCATATAGACAATAAAATGTTACTTAGTGCTAAAAGGAAATGAGCTATCATGCCATGAAGAGACATGTAGGAAGCCTAAATTCATAAACCAATTTGAAAAGGTTATAAACTGTATAATTACAAATACACAGCATTCTAGAAAAGGCAACACTATGGAGACAGTACAAAGATTAGTAGACTCTGAAACAAACCCTAACACCTCTCCCTCCCAACCATCACCAGTCCTTAGTCTATAACCTTGAACTGGAAGATACACCATTTCACCTTCTGGTTCTCAGGTCTTTGGCCTCAAACTGAATTGTATCACCACTTCTCCTGGGTCTCCAGCTTGCAAAAGGCATATTATGTAATTTCTCCATAATCACATGAGCCAATTCCCATAATAAATCTCTGAAATATCTACATATATCCTGGTGAGACTGTTTCTCATTAGAACTCTGATTAATACTAGGAGGCTCTGCATGTGTGGGGACAGGAAGTATTACAGGAACACACTCTATCTTCTGCTTAGTTTTTCTGTGAACCTAACACCACTCTAATCATGAAAGTTACAGCAAAAATGAATGCTATATCTGGTATTACCAAATATGAGCACCATTCAGGGTAACCTTTCTCAACGAGCTTTTGGTTTTGAAACACTTACCTTAAAAAACTGAAGGAACAGTGCTTGAACTCAATATTGCCATCTTTGAGTAGATCTTTTGGAGAAAGCACCCCAAAATTATTATTAAATTGTAATAAAACTTGAAAGATTTCCAACTCACCTCACGTGTAGAATATAATCCTTCACTACTTTTTGGACCCAAAAGTTTCTTCATGTTTTCCTTTATGTTCTCTTTTCTCTGTTGTCTGAAAATTTTCTCCTGATCACACAGAGCCATACTAAATCGTAGGTCTGGGCATGAGCTATGATATAAAACAGACACAGTCATGAGACATTCTTCCCACTGGCTTTGTTTTACATCTATCTAGCACCCCCACCCTCACCAAAGCTCCCAGTAGCTACATTGATATATGCTGATTACTTTCCTCAATCCATTTCTCAGGAAGGAACCTAAAACAAGAGCACAAAATGATGGCTATCTTAAATCAGCATGTGCCATGGCATATTTTCTAAAGAGAAAAAATAAAGGAATATGTTATGTTTCAAAAAAAAAAAAAACCAAACAAGCAAACAAATGACCTCTAATAGATTGTAAGTTAGGACAGTAAAGACTTTGAGAAGTGCTTCAGTAAAGAAACCTGTTTATATTTCACTAGCACAGTGTTTCCCAAGCTTACTTGACGAGGAATTTTTTCCCCTGTCCTTATGCTCCCCACAACTCTACCTTCATAACACTAATACCATCAAGAGCTTGAGGATCGTTCTTGCAGAAGTATTGTCTTGATAAATTGCTTTGTGTAACACACATCCCCCTCTGAAAAAGAAAGGGGCTTCTACCAGCAGAACTTAAGATAACCACAAATGCAGTGCCAGCCAGGACTTTGGAACCATTTAATTATGTACTCTTCCTTCTAATAACAGCAGCAGCAATCTCTCAGAAACCTACACATGCTAAAAACCACAGAGATAGGATCATTGTGACAACTATGGGAGAAATCACTACACATTTTATGTAAATATGATTATATATTACAGCTGTACAAATTAGAAAACCGCAGCAGCAAGACATCAGGATCACTCAGTAGATATTCAATATACTTTCCACCAAGAGTCAAGGACTCACAAATATTACATGTTCTACTATTGGAAGGAAGGAAGGAAGGAAAGAAGGAAGGAAGGAAGGGAGGGAAGGAGGGAGGGAGAGACAGGGAGAGGAAGAAAGGAAAGAAAGAAGGGATGGAGGGAAGGAGAGAGAGAGCAAGAAAGAGAGAGATAGGGAGAGAAGGCTGAGGGAGGGGGATGAAAAGGAAGAGAGGGAGGGAAGGAAGAGAGAGAAAAAAAAGGACAATAACACCCACGAAATACTGCCTTTTTAATCACTCAAAAGTCTAAGTTCTTGCCTTAAGAATAGATTAAATTTGTCTCATTTTTGTTAGTTCCATATATTTCTTCCTAATAAAACAAAACACTGCAAAACCTCTAGGCTATGCTCTCTATATTGATATATAATCATTACAAAAATATTTTAATTACTACTTCCCAAAGAACAAATTATCTAACTTACCAAAGAAGTATAATTAATAATGAAAAATATAACAATAAATATTTCAGTAGAAAATTCAAACAATACTGTTGCTAAATTAACTAATAGTTTTTTAAAGTATTTTAAATACTTATTTTCCAGTTCTGGGAAAGGTTATATAATATTGTTCTCATACATTCATTTGAGGAATACAAATTTGCAAGACATTTTGAAAACTAAGTAGGCAATGGAGACCAGAAACAATATTGCTTTGGTGGGGGACTCACTAAGCTTCCCGGGCTCTCAGTTCTCCTGCTCAGCCTCCCTAGTGCTGAAATTACAGGCATGAAGCACCACACCTGGCTTGGGCATTACCTTCAATCTTAGTAACACTATTTCTATTTAAATTTGAAAAGATCATTTCACTAGTATTACTTAACACTAAGGAATGGTCATTAAATTATAATTTATCAAAACATTGAATTATATGGTTATTAGATTTGAATATTATGAAAATGATATAAGAGAACAAAAGAATAAAATAGTAAATTTGCATTTTTAAATCTATTCTTGGGCCACACCTTCTTTTATAGTAATGTATTGTGATTTCTTAGTTTAGGTGTCTTCTAAATGCCTTAAGAAATTCAAATCTCACCTGTATTTCTTAAATTCACCCTGTGAACTCTCCTCAATTTTGTTGCTTTTTCTGCTCCTCAGAGGAAACTTACTACTTAAACTTGATCTTTGTCCTTCCAGTGTATTTCATTACAATTTTTAAATTATACATATAAATTGGTATTGTCAAGTTTTTAAAATTTATTTTTATCATTGTACTGGGGGTACATTATGAATTATATTTTACTTCTCTAAATAATATAGAAGGTCATTCTGCAGGGTTTAAATTTTGCTATATTATAAATGATATCTATGCAAATAATTTTTCCACTGAACATTCAATATTTTGTCTCTAAGAATCATCTGTACTTAAGTAAAAAGACAGCATTAAACCATTTTAACCACTGTGGAGCATAGTGGAGTATTTCTTTATAAGGATATATAATAATTTATCCACCAGTGTTAGGGTTACTTCAAATTTTTGTGAAACATTACAAATAGCATCACTATAAGTATGTGTGTGTGTGTGTGTGTGTGTGTGTGTGTGAAAGTTTCTCATATTTTATACTCTTTACAAAGAACAATTTATCTACTCATGGCAGTATATATGCTAAAAGTAATCTTTTCCTATTTTACCAATGAATAAAAATGTTATTAGAAATCTTTCAACCATAGCCGGGCACCAGTGGTTCAGGCCTTTAATCCTAACTCCTCAGGAGGCAGAGATCAGGAGGATCGTGATTTGAAGCCAGCTGGAGCAAATAGTTTTCAAGACCTTAGCTCAAAAAAACCCATCACAAAAAGAGGGCTGGTGGAGTGGCTCAAGTAGTAGAGGTCCTGAGTACTGAGCATGAGGTCCTAATTTCAAACCCCAACATTGCCAAAAAAAAAAAAAATCTTTCAACCATTAATATAATTACCAAGTACTAGATCTAAATCCAGGACTACCCATTCTGGAATCCATGGTCCTTGTAATACATTAAGATGTAATATGCCTTTTTTTTTTCAAAAAGAACCATGAATTAAAAAAACAATCTATGAACAGTATAATGAATCTAGATGTTGAGAAGATATTAGAAGAAAATTCAAAAACTGAGTACTTTTACAAATATGCTACTTATGGTTCATTTCTTCTTTTATATCTTTTATTTTCTAGTTTTCTTTATTAATTTTATATTACATGGAAAAGGTTTTCTTTGAATCTCTGTGAAAAAATCATTTCTATTTCAAAGTCAAGATATAAATTAAGATAGGTGCAGTGGCTAATGCCTGTAATTTCAGTTGCTTAGGAGGCGCAGATAGAAAGACAGCAGTTTAAGGCCCGCCTGGGCTAAAGTTAGCAAGATCTTATCTCAAAGAACAAGCCAGGCATGGTGGTACATGCCTGTAATTCCAACTAGTGGGGAGGCAGAGATAGGACGAGGGAGGTCAAAGGCCAGCCCTGGCAAAATGTGCAAGCCCCTATCTGAGAAAGAACTAAAGCAAAAGAGCTGGAGATTAAGCCCAAGTAGTAGGGCACCTACTTAGCAAACGTGGGGCTCTGAGTTCAAACCCCAGTACCTTCAAAATATATATATAAATTATCATATTAAAAGGTTTTGATTGAATGTCTTTATAAGTTAGTTCTGGACAAGTACATTATTTAGCTAAGGTTTTTAAAAAACATTTATTTAATAGCCCTGTTCTTATTAAAGCCCTTATTATTGCTTTTACACAATATAGTCCTAATTACCTCATGAAAAACATTTCCCATTAAAACAAAGAGCATTACTTCATAGTCAATCAAATCACAGAAATATTTCTTATCTCATCTCAAAATACACCAGTTTCAAGCAAGAATCAACTGAATGCCAAGTAATGCAACACAATAGCTTTCACTGTCTTTTAAGTTCAAGAGGCTGTGGAAATTTATCCTTTACTGAATCAAATCAACATGTTCCAGGGATCAAAATAAGAGAAAGAGATGTAGAAACCCATTCTCAACATTTGGCAAATTACAAGAGATAAGCAGGTTAGACCAATTTGTGTGGCGTTTGTATAAATATGCACTAATAACAGAACAAAAGTCAGCATCAACATGGGAAGTTGGAAAATGCAGACAGGCTGTGGAAGTGGGAGATATTGAACTTGACCTTGGCTGAGAAATTGGCTAGACCAGTCCAGACCTGGCTTACTTCCCATGGTTCACTTTTGGAAGCCACTTTGAAAGAGTACCATGCTTCAGGGAACATTACCATTTGTAGTCCTTGTGAACATTATGAACACAATTAGTGCCACTTTTCACTTTTCTGTTTATTAAACATTATTATAGCTTCCTGCTCATTTTCACTTTCATGTTTGTGAATACCTATCTGAATCAACCATGGGTGATAGGCTTTAAAACCACATCCATTTAAGAAAATGTGGTACATATAGACAAATCATGCTGTTTGCAGGTAAATGGATGGAACTGGAGAGTTTCATGCTAAACGAAACAAGCCAGGCTCAAACATTCAAAGGTCAAATGTTTTCCTTCATATGTGGAAGCTAGACCTATAAGTTTAATGTATATTTAGATCATATATGTGATCATATATATGTATATGCATGATCACATATACACGCACACACATATATAATGAAAGAGAAAAAAAATTGAGTTAGTAAACCTATCTGAGGGGACTGAGGGTAAAGAAAATGTTAGAAAATGTTACACAATGAAAAATATTGAAACAGCTTACCTATATATGAATATAGTATAAAGCACTGTACTGCAAGTTGTTGACTATTACAGGAGCATGGTGATAGAAAATGATTAAGTAACAGGGAGGAGCTAATCTGATTAAAGCATGCTATATACAGGCCTGAAGTACCAAAGCAAAACCCCCTTGGACTATCAATATACACTTAAGAAAATGAAACACAGGAGGGAAAAATAGGTCATTTCCAGGAGAGATACCAACAGGAGGGGGGTGGGCACAAGTAAAGAGGGAATGAAGATAAATATAGTGGATGTATTTTGTATCCATATATGAAAATAGAAGAAAGAAACCTGCTGAAATTGTTCTAAGAGGGGAGGGAGAAAAGAGAAAGCATGGAGGAGATAAACTTAAGATACATTGTAAGCACATAGGTAGATATCACAATGGATCCCCCTGTACAACTACTATATGTTAATAAAATTTTTAAAACTGCATCCATTACTACAGTAATTGATATATTACTAGAGAGAGATTCCTTACCAAAAAAAAAAAACCACTTATTTTTACAACTATTATCAAATACAAAAGTACTAAAAAAGTACTAGCAAAGAATATTAGAATTATGGTTTTTGGAGATTTTAGCTATTAAGAGATAGCTAAAGAAAAGCAAATTTATATGCTTTTATGTATTCACAGCTCTCAGAATTATTTCATACATAAAAAGAACACTTTTTAACAAAAAAATCAGTGAATCACTTGTCCTGTCTCAAATCCAATTAAATTAATAAAACTTACCAAACTTCCAGTGACATTTCCAGGATCATTTCAGTGACCTAAAAAAGACAGGTGAATTAGAATAGACCATAAAATGGATATGTCTTAAAAAGTACAAATAGAAATAAGATTTGAGTGCTAGATTATCCTTCACTTAAAAAACAAAATAGAAATAAAAGTAACACAATTCCACAAAGATCCAGAACTATAGATACATTTCAATAAATATTTTTGCTGTTTTTTGTGATATAAGTCTTCTTCATAAGTCACTTCATTATGCATTAGAACTAACTCTGCCTGGTGGCCTTCCTCCCTCATGTTCTAGTAATTAAGTTCCATGATTACTATTCACAAAATTAAAAAAGTGACTGAAATACAAAATAAGGTATAGGATTACTGTTCTATTTTTTAGGAACTGCCTTGGACCATAAAGTCATAATGAACAAGAAAATTAAAAGGCCTGGGTGAAAGTTCACGCATGTGCATTTGTAATAAGTAGGGTATAGTGAGCTGGGATAGGGGCGTGGCACTTATCTAGGGTGGGTGTCAGGACCCAGGATCCAAGAACCATCTAGTGGAATTTGGTGCTCCAGTTGTTATTTTCTCAATACTTCTTTTTTTTTTTTTCTCAATACTTCTTGAGCCAACCAAATGTATCAGAGGACTGCATTTTATCAATGAGACAGTTTTTGTTCATTTGTTAACTGAAAAGAGTGACTAATATCCACAGAGCAAAAAGACCTTTCCACAGTGTATATATATATATGTGTGTATGTGTGTATTTCTGCTGTCATTAGTACTGAATAATGTAATTTTAGGTGGTTATGAGAACCAAATGAAAAAATGCTTCAAACATCACTGTATAATTTAAAAACTGTGCTATTACTTTTTTTACCATAAGATCATGGATGGACTGACTTGTTTAGTAACTTCAAACTGACCAGAAAAGGAGATGCCTCTTGAAATGGGAAAGGAATGTTTTAGAACCCTCACAAAATGTTATGGATCACTCAGCTTGTTGCCTTTGGGTTTCAGGGGACAGGAAAAAAACAAAATAGAAGGAGCTTAACAAAAAGTTAAGGTAAGTTCTTTGCTGATAAGACTTGTGTACAACATATTCTGATTTTTAAAATAAATACATGAAAAGCTACCATTAAAATGAGACTAGACCTAATATTTTTATCTCCAAGGGGAAAACCCACCATAAATGAATGAAAATAAAATGAAAAATACAACTCCATACAGAACTTTTCAACGAATGCAAACTTTCAGAGCTGGAGAGGGTTCCTATTTCAATGAACAAACTCATGACAGAAAGCTTTCAGGAAAAAGCCAACTTCACAACCAAGGTCGGTAAGCAATTTACATATTAAAATATTCAAATCAACCATGCCATGATTATAGTCATATTTGTGTTCACAGATGAATGCCCGTTCTACATTTCTTGGCTAAGACATTCATGGTCATGGATGGACTGACAAGGCTCTTTAAACGAAGACAGGATGAGAGAAAAGAAGACACAGGATGTTCCCATCATTTTGAATGTTCCAGGATATGTTGTCATGATTCTTGTCACATGGATTGAATCCTCACTTCCTCATGTTGCTCATGTGTACCACAATCAGGAAGAAAACTTAAACTCTCTTACTTGGTGCACTACGTTCAAACACGCTAAGAAACCTGACAGTCACAATCTCTCTGCACCTTTTACCTGGAACATGTCATTCAGTTAAAATAGTCACAAAAGATATATACTTCCTGTGAGGCATTAAACAATTGCAGTAAACTTCTCACACACTGCACAAAGCAACTCTGCATTCATTAGAGGTATCCACATCTTGCAATACCAGGACAATTAAAAAGGAAGGAGACCAAAGCTGCCAAAATCTCCCCTACCCCATAATACTTAACAAGCAGCCAGAAAAAATGAGAACTCCACCCCCGCCCTAGGAATAATAAATGTAAGAGGTGGACTGTACCCTCTATGCATTCTTGTGAAAAACAAACCTCTTGCTTGCATTTCACAGTGGAAAACAAATTTGATGCTTTCAATGGAAGATATTCAGTTGGGAAAGGCGGAGTAACTAGAGGAAAGGAGCTCTTTAAAAAATCCATTTCAGACATTAAAATAATTTTAAACTATTTAACCTATTAATTATCTTGCAAACTTTCTGGGTTTGTTTTGAAATAGTGAAGCTAAAAGCAATACTAGGGAAGTACTTTAAAATTATTATTACAAGGCAGGAGCTCTACCACTTGGGCCAGTCCTTAAAATTATTATTACAAAAAGATACATACTGTCAAATAATTTTAAATTTGGCAAACTTATTAGTAAAAATGTATTCAAGCTGGCAGAGTGGCTCAAACAGTAAAGTGTCTGCCTAATGGGTGTGAGGCCCTGAGTTCAAACCCTAGTACCAAAAAAAAAAAGGAACTCCCCAAGATATACTCAAATGTATCTTGCTTTCTTTGTACTTCAATATTTCAATGTTTTCTTTCAATAAAACACTATTTTGAATTTTTATTCCTCTGAGCCAACTTACTCTGTTATTTTTAAGGTAGAAACAAACAACAAGTAATTCTTATGTTGATTCAGTAACTTTTTACAGCTTTCAAGAGAATTACAAATTTTCTTCATATCAGTGTCTAGCTAATCTGTGCAGATAATAAAGTGATATTTAACAAGGGTCACTTCTACTAAGAATTGTGTTCCATACAATTTGCATACACCGTAGCTCCATTCTATGAAGAATGGTACAAAACGGAACCTGTCAAGGAAGAAATTCAAGTGCATAGTGATAATAACAACTCTGCCAAATCAAGCTACATAAGTTTTCCGTGTTTAAAATTGAATGAGACATCAATAAAATCATTTTGATATATATAAGTTTTCCTAAAACAAAAATTAGTGCTTCCTACGAGAAATCTTCACCAAAGAATTTAAGATAGCTGTGCCCCAAAATATAACCCAGGCAGTCTTTAAAGTTGTTTTTGTGTTTTTCCAGTACTGGGGCTTGAACTCAGGGCCTACACCTTGAGTCACTCCACCTTGTGATGGGTTTTTTTGAGATAGGGTCTCATGAACTATTTGCCCAGGCTGGCTTCAAACTGCAATCCTCCTGATCTCTGCCTCCTGAGTAACTAGGATTACAGGCGTGAGCATCTGTTGCCCAGCATGTCTTAAAAGATTTGAAATATTTGCCAGCTACACATCAGACAAAGGACTGATAACCAGAATATTCAGGAAACTCAAAAAACTAAACTCTCCCAAAATCAATGAACCAATAAAGAAATGGGCAACTGAACTAAACAGAACTTTCTCAAAAGAAGAAATTCAAATGGCCCAAAAAACCCATGAAAAAAATGCTCACCATCTCTAGCCATAAAGGAAATGCAAATCAAAACCAAACTAGGATTCTACCTCACCCCTGTTAGAATAGCCATCACTAAAAACACCACTAATAACAGGCGTTGGCGAGGATGTGGGGAAAAAGGAACCCTCTTACACTGCTGGTGGGAATGTAAACTAGTACAACCACTCTGGAAAAAAATTTGGAGGCTTCTTAAAAATCTAAACATAGATCTGCCATATGATCCAGCAATTCCACTCCTGAGGATATATCCAAAGGAATGTGACTCAGGTTACTGCAGAGGCACTTGCACACCCATATTTATTGCAGCACTATTCACAATAGCCAAGTTATGGAAACAGCCAAGATGCCCCACTACTGATGAATGGATCAAGGAAATGTGGTATTTATACACAGTGTAATTCTACTCAGCCATGAAGAAGAATGAAATCTTATCATTCTCAAGTAAATGGATGGAACTGGAGAGTGTCATTCTGAGCGAGGTTAGCCAGGCTCAAAGACAAAAAAATTGTATGTTTTCCCTCACATGCAGTCTTTAGATCTAGGGCAAATACAGCAATGTGGTTGGACTTGGGTCACATGACAAGGGGAGAGCACATATGGGAGGTATGGGGATAGATAGGAAACCCAAAACTTGAAAGTATTTGATGTCCCCACTGCAGAGGAACTAATACAGAAATCTTATAGTGACAGGAGTCAATATAAGAAGGGGATCAGGAACTAGAAAAAAGGACAGTTAGAGATGAATCAACTTAGAATGTAACACATTTATTCATAGAAGCAATGCTAGGAATCTCTCTGTATAGCTACCCTTATCTCAACTAGCAAAAACGCTTTGTCTTCCTTATTATTGTTTATACTCTCTCTTCAACAAAATTAGAGATAAGGGCAGAACAGGATCTGCCTGGAAATGAGCGGGGGATGAGGGAGGAGGGGGTCAGGAAGAGGGGGGAGAAATGGTCCAAACAATGTATGCACATATGAATAAATGAATAAAAAATAAATAAATAAAAATTTAAAAAATTAATTTGAAGAGCAATGTAGTAATGACAGCTTATGTTAGAAAAAAAATTTGAAAGAGAAATAGACTGTTTACCCTGTAGCTTTGTTCTACTCTATCACATAGTTTCCTCCTTACATTTGATGATAATTTCATGTTCCCAACTTAAGGTCCTTTTCCTCATGTGGACATCAGTGGGTGTCATGGAGAACTGTATAATCACTAGCTTTCATACAATAAAACAATTTTCTAGAACGCTACCATTAACCACATGCTATCCCTTTTTTCTCCAGATGGGAATCCCTTAGTGTCTCTACCTTCTGTTTTTCAAGCTTCATTTATCTTCTTTACTCTTGTCTGAGCAATTCCCAAGTTTTCAGCACTTCACATAGTTCATTCACTTTTTTTTCCATCCAAAACTTATTCAATTATTGAATAATTTCAAAGTATTTTATTTCAGCCATACCTACAGCTGGGTAGCATGAAATGTTACGATTTGACTGTGTCCTACTCCCTTAATAGAACTTAAAATCAACAGAGAACCCCCAAGAATGCAAGAGCATTCTAAAATGTCTTATAATTTAAAAGTTATAGGATATATACTGAAAACTGCTGAATAGTGGGGGGTGGAAGGAAAGGGGTAAGGGAAAGTAACAGAGGGGTTGAAGTGACCAAAGAAAAGCATATT